ATATAAAATTTTATATAAAATTACTTATAAATATTATAATTAATAAAATTTAAGCACAAATTAAAAAAATTTATTATAGGGTACGTCAGGTAAAGGAGTGATAGGAGCACTTGCTCCTGCAATCGATCCTCAACACTCCTCCACTCCTTTTGCCACGTCACTCTTCTTTTAAGAAGATGATAATTAACTTACGATAACAAGTTGCAAAGTTACAAAGTGTTTTTTTACTTGATTTAATTTAATAAATGATTTATTATTATTTTTTTGTTTGTTTAGCAATTTTATTTTTTAAAATTATTTATTAACTTTTAAATTTATTTTAATTTGATTTAATTTAACACAACTCACTTAATTAAATTAACAAAATTTCAAAATTTTAATTGTGTAGCATTATATAAATCATCGCTGAGTTGTCATGTGATCTAATAAAAAATTACAGAAGCTTTTCCTCTCATTTTTAGGTCATATGACAACTTATATGGTATCACACAATAAAAAATTTAGATTTTTATCAATTCAATTAATTGACTTGTGTTAAACTAAACAAAATTGAAACCAAATTTAAAAGTTAATAAATTATTTTAAAAGAAAATAAAAATTTTAAATTAAAAAAAATAATTAATAAATTATTTATTAAATTAAACCCTTTTCGCCCTTAGCAAGTTTGCCAAAAACTCGAAGCAGGGAAGGCCTCATTTAACCCCAAAAAAAAAAACTGAAGGAAAGTCTTCACGGTTTCTTCTTCCATGGTCGGCGATTAGAGGTGGCTATGGGCTTAATTTTCAATCCTTTTTAACCTTATCTTTTTTGCAAAGGCTCGAGACTCTTCATCTCTGTTGATTTTTTTTTTTTTTTAAACTCAACTTTATCAACTTTTCTTGAAGATCAGGGGTAGCTGGGCTTTGGAAAAGGGCATATTTGCTGAACTTTTTCTCTCTATAAGACCAATTAGAGTTGTTTTGCCTCATTATACTGAAATTTAGGACAAACCTGGCTCAATATTCCTCCTATTCATCTTTACTATGGTTATGCCTCGGTAAGCTTCTTTCTTTTACTAGTTTTTTTTTTTTTTTTTTTACAAGGATAATAGTCAGTAGTTAGAAGTTAAAAGTTAATTTAGTACTTTATTCATGGTAAAATTCGATCACTGATCATAAGTGCAATTCAACGATAACTCTTTTAAGTTGCAGTGATCACTAATAAATCACAATAAAAAAATGCTTTTACTAAGTAATTGGGTAAAAGCAAGGTTATAATGGAATTAGGATCCAACCTCAAATTTTTATGAGATTGCGTTTTTTATAAAACCACAAACATGGTATAGGAAGTTGTAATTTTTAAGAAATACATTAAAAATATAAATGTAATTCTAAAATTATTCACTTGTTGCTAGATATTAATATTTGTCAATCGTGTGACAATTACCGGTACATTAACAACCAATTCACAAAACAACAATTAGTATTGAAAGTAATAACTTCCTTATTCTAGATAACCAAACTTAATTGAAAAAAAAAAATTATTTTTTTTCAAGTGTTATTAGCAGCATCCTCATTCCATAAAATTCATATGACAACTTCTACTTTAACTCGACGTAATTTCAATTCGAATGAAAATTCTCAGAAGTAACTCAACTTATTTATCTCTAAAATCCAACACTTCTTCTGGCTTTTGGCGCATCAGCGCGGCTAAAATGTTTTAGCTTTTTGCATAACTTGGGCATATCACCTACCGCTACCTACCCTCGTTTAAACGATGGGAATGTGGAACATTTGATTCGTTTCTGTCCTTCCTCAACTACTATCCTCAGTAGTTTCTTCCTTGATATCTCATCGCTACGGCTGCATGGTCCTGATTTTGTCTCTTGGCTTCGCTACAATTCTCAACATAAGGTAAAGACCAATGTGCTTAACATCCCCTGGAATATATTCTTTTGCTTTGCTTTATGGGGAATCTGGCTCCAATGCAATCAAACTATTCATTCCCTTCACCCCTACCAGCTCACTGCCTCCTGTAACCTGATCATTGAAAGAGCTGCTGAATTTTGTGCTTCTGTCACTCCAAAAACAACTCGGATACGCCAGATGTTTAATTTTAAATGGTCCAAACCTCCCTCCAATGTCATCAAACTAAATTCCGATGACTCGGCCAAAGGTGTCGGGAACTTGCTGTTGCAGGAAGTCTCTTTCGCGACTACTGTGGAAATTGGAAGCTTAGATATACAAGAAATGTGGGCTGGTCTAACAGCCTTTTTGTTCAACTATGGACCACTAGATACGGTTTACAGCTTGCTATTGTGCATAATTTTACTCATATTATTATTTAATCTAATTCTCTTATTGTTTTTCATCTTCATCATGGTCCTCCATCTACTTCTCACGACCTCAGCTCTTTAATTTATTTATTGCAAGAAGCTACTCCGGTGAATCCCTCATGCCGAGCTTAGACCTATTGTGCGAGAGTCTAACATGGATACTAATTTTTTTAAAAAAAATTAAATTCACATGAAACTGAATTCGAATTATTACCTGTAAATGAAAAATGTACTTATACGTAATTTGACGTTGAATTCAAAAGTCAAAATGCAGCATGAATACTAATTTGATGGCCAAACTAAGACATAATATTAATAAAGACTTTGTTATTTTCTATTAAACTATTTTGTATTGTTGACATTATGGTGATTGGATCTTTCCGAATGTGCTGATGTTTCTCTAGTTTAATGTAATCTGCATTTTAACCCCCTCC